GACATCTGCTCTAAAATTCAGGACTAAGTATTTTGGTTGATTACGTTTGTTGAGTTTTCTGAAGTGTAATTGTATAGATGAAAAAGACAGGCAACATGGGTGATGACTAATTTTGATTGTTTGTCCGTTAGGTTGAAAATTTAAAATTATTGAGCACTTTCTTTGCGTGTAACCACTATTTTACGGCGCGGCGAGTTAGAATGTCGAATGATGGTACCTCTATACATTTTCTACTTAGTTGTGACGTAGCAAGCCCCCACTACTCAACTTCGATGTCTATTTTCTAAGTCATTTCTTGTTCAATTGAAGAAAAATACATATCTAATATTTTCCTATTAACTGATTGACGGATTAAATATAATTCCTTTTTTATCCAGGCATCAACCCCATTAGCATAAGCACCTAAGGGCGTACTGCGTGTTATTACGAACCTTTATTTACTTTAACGTCGGGATATTGGCGAACTATTTTTTTACATGATAGATCTTGATGTTGTTTTTCCCTATATTATAAATTTAAATAAGTTTTATTAACGTGGTGCCAGTCGGTGGATTTACATAAAAATGACACTGTTTTGTTTATATATCTTGCTAAATTTGTTTATAGATTCACTTCTTTATATATGAAATACAGGAATAACAGGTAGTACAAGCTGAATACATAACGGTAATTAAAAGTATATACAGGAACAGTACGGGCAGAGTTAAGTTGGAAAAAATCAGTCCAAGTTTTCCAATTAAGAGAGGTGTTAGACAGGGTGACCCAATGTCCCTAACACTGTTTATTGCTGTTTTGGAATCTTTAATAAGGAGGCTTAATGAGGAAGTATTAAAAAAAAAGAATGTACTAAAAAAGCACCTCCACTAGATGTACGACTCTAGCAAAAGTTGATTTTTGCAGGAAACGAATAGACTAAAGACAGTCATTTCAGTTCCTTTTAACTAAAATATTAAAAAACTGAAATTTGAAAAGTTCGAAACATAGATATCAATACAAATAAGAAAAAGTATAAAAGAATATCAGTTTTTTATTGAGTTTTGAAAACTATAATTTACATTTAAGCATGAAAGAAAACCGGAAGGGTTGTCATGGAGAAATCAGGAACGTACCGTAGCGACATGTAGTTTGATTTCGGGAACTAATGATATTTTTAAAACACTTCCTCATTGGAAAAAAATGCGGTATATATGTATATCGACGGGAAATACCTAAGTCTTCTACGTTTTGCGGACGATTTAGTTTCGTTATCAGCTCAACTCCAGTTTATGCTTCAATCGCTTAATGAATGTAGTAAATAGATTGGTTTAGAGATGAACGTAACCAAAACAATTTTGATGAAAAACAGAGGTAATTGTTGTAGGCCATTCGGACCTGCACCGAAATCGTCCATATTTAGCAAAACTTAACTTCAAAAAGATAACAACTAAAACAAAACAATAAGAGAATAACAATAATACAATAACAACTCAATCACGGAATACATATATCATTATCTGACAAAATTAAAAAGCTGTACTACCGAAACGATTGAAGGGATTAGGCAACGTTTTAAATTTAGAAGAATAATAGTGACATGAGAATCGTGCCGAGAGTATCCAACCCTGCTTCTCTAGGTTCTTTAAGATGAACACTTCTTATTGTAAAAGTTATTAAATCTTTTAAGTTAGTCAAATAGAGTCTGGCAAGCGAAACGTGTCACAAGAAAAGGGCGGCAATTTCAAAAATTCTTAAGCAGTAAACACTGAATGTAGTACTGCAAAATAATTTTGATACTTTTATTAATTATATTTAATCTTAACATTTAGATATCAATTAAAATTATTTGTTTTGGAACATTTGACTAAAGCGTGACTGTTCTTAATTGTACAGTTAACAGCATATCAGTAGGCCTATTCACTAACTCAACTGACAACCAAGAATCGTCATCACCGTAAAAAATAGACACTTTGATTGTGTCAAAATCACTATTTCGTATTCTCTATCAATGATGAGCAATTTCGAAATGTCAATATCGGCATTCTCCACTGGACTCCATTTTGACACTTGATTTCGTATCGATAAACTGTATTAAAGTAACATTGTTGCAAAGCATATTTGAAGTCGTCGCATAGTACCTCTTAAGCCATTTGTTGTTAAATTAAAGCGAAAAAAAATACGTATCCAATATTTTTCTATTATCTGACTGACGGACTAAATCGAATCTTTTTTTTAACCCATTCGTTATACCTATTGGCTAACAGCACTTATAATATTAAAAATTCATATTTGTCATTAATTAAAAGGGTGTTTTTTGCAACGACTTCTTTGTTTTTTTGTAATGAATATGGGCGACTCTGGCCACATTTTTTTAATAAATGTGATGTTAGCCAATTTTGATTTCTGGCCCTTATATTTATAATGTGTTCATAACACATACATGTCTCCTAAGGGATTTTCATCACAACCTTTTGCTCTGATCCAGAACCACTATCTATCAAATTAAATTAGTCAATATAAACACCAGATTACAATAAAAAAAACATTTATTTTTGTTACAATTAAGTGCCATGGATAAATTACATAATACAGGTGTCACAAAATCATCATGTTAATCACAATAGAAAATTTAAGATAAGATTTTGACTATGAATCAGACTAAAAATACTTTAGTCTGATTCATAGTCAAAATCTGTTTCTAAATATTCTACACCTGATAACAATGACAAGGAATCATCAGAGTCACTCTCTTCACTACTGTCTGCACCAACAGATATAATAAATTTTTCAAGTTCGTTTTCAACAATGCCATCTTTTAATTTGTAATCATTTTCGACATTTAAAACATGATCAGTGTATTTCTTCCAGTCACTAGGGGTAATTAAGTTAAAACACTCTATTATTAAGTTTTCCATTTCCTTTCCTGGTATTCCAATGTTTCTGCTTGCAATTTTTCTTTTTGCTTGACTCCAAACCATCTCTATTGGGTTTAAGTCACAATGATACGGTGGCAGCAATAAAAGTTCATGATTATGTTCTTTTAAAATCTCTTCAGCTTCATATACAGGCAATGTTTTCTTATCATTAACCAAACACATTAACTCTGCCTTTGTCTGATATTCCTCAAAATGTATTCCATTATTTACAAGCCATTTACGGATATCTGCTTTGGTATTAGACATTATAGGCGGTTTATTGATTTGTTTTATATGGTAGCTGGCATTATCCATAACAATTACACTGGGCTTACTTAAATTTGGTATTAATTTTTCTCTGACCCATTTCATAAAGTTCGATGAGTTCATATCATCATGATAATCAGCAGATTTGGATTTACTACTGAACACTAATAATGCACCAGGCACAAAACCTTCCTCAGATCCAGCATGCACAACAATATGCCGTTTTCCAGAGGATATCTTTGTAGTGACACCAGTTGTTGAAGGTCCTTGCCAAGACTTTTTAACTTTATAATTCTGATGTACATAAGTTTCATCAAGGTACACAATTTGCTTTCCTTCGTTTCGTTTTATATTTATTTCTCTCAAATACTTGTGCCTCCATGCAGAAATCTGGTATTTTTCTATAAGCATAGAACGTTCATTTTCATTGCTTTTAAAAGAAAATCCATTCTTAAGCATAATTTTTCGTAAAGTCTCACGGCTACCACTGAATCCTATTGCATCTTTTAATTCATTGTGAAGGCTTCTTAATGTTGGAACAATTTTTTTCACACAGTAAAATTCATTTACTTTATTCCGAATTGCACTTAAATCAAAATTATCTAAAGCAGACACTGTTGGTTGATGAGGTCGTTTTTTCCCAGGAGTGTCCCATTTTCCTTTATTAATTAATGCTTCATTTTTTATCCTTCTTAGTGTCCTTATACTTACATCTATAAAAGATTAAACACTTTGAAACAAAGATATGTTAAATGTATTTAAAAGCAAATAATGATAGACACATACATCAAAATAATTTAAATACCTATTCAACTATGAATGCAATTTATGTTTAATTTAGTTAAGTTTATGTGCATATTTAGCATGTATAACAATTACATGGTTTGATTAGTTTCATGAATTCTGTGAATTTCCTTGTTAAACAAAACATTCTTATGACATCATTGGATGTCAACAATAAAAACCAATACATCATAAAAAACCTATGTAAATATTATAGGAATACTATCAATCTATCTTAAATCAAAACAAGAAAAGAGACCTGTCATTGAAGAAATTTTTTGTAAGTACTGCGTTTCCGAATTCAGCATTTCTTGTTTTTCTAAAGTTTTTATTGCATTTATCTCCTCCATTATTGGTTGAATATCACCATCACAGTTATCTGAAATAGAGCAATATTTTATAAAAAATATCTGTTTAGTTAATTACAGAAAATTAAAACGAAAGTATCAAAATTATAATACAAAACTAACCTAAAAAAGATACAACTTTATCTAATCGTTGTAATTTCTCCATGAAATTTTTATTTAATTCAGTTTTCACTTCAGTAAACTTGTCAATCATGATGGAAAGAAGTTTCCTCGATGAACTTTTTATCGGCTTCGACATAATTTTTAACCAAAAACACAAGTTCAAATTCGCAAAAACAACAAAATTCAATATTCTTGAATTGTCTAACGTAGTGTCAAACTGACAGTTCTATGTTGTTGCCATATGAAAACGGAAAAATAGGTGGTGTCACGTTTCGCTTGCCAAACTCTATTCATAATTTTGTTTAACAGGTAGCTTAAACGACAACTGTTAAGTATAGCAGCTGGTATTTAAGTGGATATGTAGCAAATTAGCCGTCAGTCTTACGAGTAACATGATTTTTAATATTTTGTCACAAAGTATACCTTAAAAAGAACCTTATTTAACTTATGTCTAATACTATAATGAATGGAGTATAAATATAAGGAAATTACAAAAAATAAAACACACCAGAATTAGATATTTAACAAAAGCAATTGACGGTTTAAGGGCAGGGCATGAGGCGCGACTGAAGGACGACAGATGGTCAAAATGGGTGATGACATGCCCTCATGGACCGGTCCTCAAGGTAAGCGCTACAGAGGAAGACCGCTCATGAGGTGGCAGGACGAAATTGTCGAGACGGCGAGCTGTAGTTGGATACAGAAGGCGCAAAATAGGGAACGATGGAATCCTTTGGAGGAGGCCTTTACCCGAGGAGGGGTTCTGGAAGATTAACTAGATGAATAAGTAAAAAGGTTATAATCATAAATGGTAATTAGGTTTAAGCTAGTCTAATGTTTAAATCAATACTGTTGTATAATCTTTCCCAGAAATATAAGGATTTTTTATTTTATTTTATATGAAATGCCACCAAAGAAGACGACAATTATCTTAGAAATAAACTATAAACTTTTCGATTAATATAAGCACAATATACTGAACTCTATAGCTATTTTTCTAAAATAAAGTATAATATTAACTTGGCTGTTAAAGTTAATCTCCTTTGCCTCATTAATCAAATAGAAAAAAGACAATTTGACATTTGTTTGTTTGTTTTTATCGTGATTTCTGTGACTGTATTTTCTTTGAATTTTTTCTTTTAATTAGTAAAAATTAAATGAATAACACTGAAAATATAAAAGCTCACAATTTGAAATCTCCTCAAATATTAAGACCATGGATTTAATAAGCAAAAAGGCCTCGCAATGGAAATATTTGAAAGCTTGTTGTTGTTGTCTCAAAGACGATTGTTCCAAGGACATTTATTCCGAATATTATTGTACGGAACAAAAAGAAGTTTACGAAACTATGCTGAAGGAAACGTTCAACATCCAGGTACAGTATTGTCAAATTATAAAACCTTGATGAGAAGTATAAATTAAATTTTATTTAGGTACATTCTCTTCGACCTCCGTGGCAGAGTGGCTCGTACGCCGGCCGGTTCCATTGTGTCGCATTTTTGAGGTCCCGAGGTAGATTCCTGATCGGGTCAATGTTTAAATCTAATAATAATCTGGGTGTCGTAGTACCTTAGATGTTGCATATTATTATGATTACTATAATTCAAGTCCATTAGCTACTTAATTTGGAATATGAGCAATTTATTTGATATTTAGCCAGTTGCAAAATCATTCATTAAAATTGTAAGTAGTAAGTATAGAGCAACATTACTTGTACAAGTTTTATAATTCAGAACATTCATTAGAACTTAAAGTTATTATTAAATATTAATGGATGTTTGTGCAACAGGGTGATTGTCTGATGTTACTTAATTTATTTTATAAATTATGTAGATGCTGTTGGTTTCAAATAAATAAATAAATGATTTTTTATAAAATAAATAATCAATATATGTAATAGATGACATTATTCGACTACCTCGGTAGCCGAGTTTCAGGTGTTGCCATCTCTGAGGTCCCGGGTTCGATCCCCGGTCGGGTCAATGTAGAAAATGAACTTTTCTATATTGTGTCGGGTCTGGGTGTTGTGTTACTTTCGTTGTCACAGATACTCCATAATACGGGAGCTATGACTGCTCATCTTGGAATTTGAACAATGTATGTGATGTTGTGTAATATTTATTTATTTATATTTATTATATGAACTGATTACAGTTCAAATTACACTTCAAGATTTAATGATGACTTTAAGCACTAATCAATATTCATAAATTGAGAATTTATATCAATAAACGGTCGGTTGCAAAACATCCGTTAAGGTTTAATGATGCCTTTAAGCTCTAATGAATGTCAAATTTGTATAGGTTATGTCACTTTTAATGGATGTATGTGCAACTGGCTGAGTGTCACTTTGAACAAATAACAATCTTAATGAACGTCTGTGGGACCATTTTTTTGTGTCTTTTTTCTAAATGTATTTACTTATTGATACTGGAAAGCAAAGACATAGTAACCCACAAACCAAAAATTTGTCCTTAGTGCAGAATAACTTTTTATTTTTTCAGTATTAAAATCTTATTTGCGAATAGCGGTTACCATATTTGTTTGTTATAACACTTTTTTCAAAAACAAAAAGTTATTCTTCTCTCAAGATCAATTTTGGGATTGCAGGCTCTTACGTGTTTCATTTCCAGTGTCAATGTGTACTAAACTAATATAATAATAAGGATATTGAATTCCCTTCCAGATAACTTGTGTGTATGATGTGGAATACAAACGTCTTATTTGTGATGATTGTATAGAACAGCTTCGTCGCTCATTTTCGTTCAAAACTATGGTGACCAACAATGAAAGAATGCTTAGGCAGTATTTGGACAGTGTACAACACTATGATGGTAATTATAGTGTTAACATGTTTGTAAGTTTGCTCATACCATACAGTGCTTAGTGCATTTTAAATCTTCGGAATTTCTGATTTTGGCGCCCCCTGACAGTGACGACCGGGGCAACCGCCCTGACTTGGACCACCCTAGCAGGTTTATGAAAGGGTCTACTTGGAAATTTATGTCAGTGTCACACAGACATGGGACACATATTCAATTTTTCCTTTGCTTTTTTTATATATTACGTCCAGTATCTATGTTAAATAAATGAATTTTAGATTGATAGGCAATGTACACTAAAAGTTGGTTTGGTTTTCATATCAATTCCACTTGAAATTCAGTGTCACTAATGATAATTTGCTATATCAATGTTGTTTTAAATTAAGATTCAGTGTTGATTGGTCCTTTATGAAAACAGCTCAAACTTTATTCATTGTTAAATACAAATAGTAGATTTTTTATACAGTCCTATGATATCACAAAATAACCTTGCCTTCATTGACTTCCTGAGACGTCATTATACAATATGGGTAAATGAATTTAATTTAAATGCCATTATTACCTTAACATTAGCCCTCATTAGAACCAAACCCCAATTATGTTCTTAAATGCTAAGTAAAAAATATTCTTATATTAACAATAGTGATCATTTTTTAGCTTCAAAGCCAATGACTGAGGTCCCCTTAAATGTACCCGTGAAGCTCGAAGCATTACCAGAAGAAGATGACAACTATCATCAGGATAACGGAATGGATGGCAGTTGTAGTGACAATGGTGAGAGGTTTTGCTTGCGATGAAGAAGAAGAATACTTGACAGTATTGTCAGGTATATTTAGGGCAGTAGACCCGGTTTTGGCTATTAGGTCATAGTTTTATGACCTAGTTTTAGCTATTTTAAGATTAATGAGAAACTACCTTATAACAGCTGTTAACGGTATTAGTTTTGCCATAATGCAAATTTTAAAAACTGTTCACAGCAAAGTAATATATTTATTATAAATGCATTAGTTAGAACTAAACGGAAGCAGCAGCCAAAACCGGGTCTTCTGATCTTTATTGATTTTGTTTTATTTAGAGAGTTTACAGCATTATTCACATTATAATCTTCGACGTAAAACAATGACCACAAAATAAATAAAATTTTAGAAAACATATTTCTCAGATCCCAAGCTAAGCACTTAAGGCACTGGACAGGAGGACAAGACAGGAGACATTATAGAAATTATTTTTAACACACCCTACTGGGAATTGAACCCTGGATCTCGAGAACATGCTTAATTTTTCTAAATATATAGTTTTGCTTTTATGCTCATGGTATGTTAAGTTAATATTTATTTATATTTACAGTTCAGATAGCGAAATTCTTAAAATATCCTCTTACCAATATATCCCATTCCCGAAACGTCCAGTTTTCTAGGATATTTTGGGATCTGGATATTTCGGAAATTGGACATGTTGGTTATTGGAATCAGAATGTCCAACTCAAGGGCTATTTATGTTAACACAGATGTACTTGCTGATATTAAGATAGAATCAATAACGTGTAGTACAGAGGCTCCCATAGGCACTAAAATGCCAAAGAAAAGGAAATCTCAAGAGAGAAAAGTGAAGATGAAAAAATGCAAAATCAAGAGTGAAGGTGAGCACCGATAATTTCATAATATGTGTAAAGAAAAATCTTATTTAATATTTTCTTTTATTTCTTTAGTATTTATTAAAAGGCCCAATTTGAAATTGAGGGATTTTACACCAAAAATCGGTTTTGAAGGAAATAAGGATCGGTCGATCTTTTGATCCAGGATTACAGAAACAAAACGCGATCCGACTTTAATCGTCATATCAAACGAGGGCGAGAACCAACTTAAGTGCAAGTTAAATCATTCTCTGACCAAGATAAGTCAACTAGTCTCAATTTCAGGTTTTCTCTTCTATCATTGTCAATTTGTTTAAGGCGGCCAATGGTTTAAAAAAAGTAATAATTTTAGTCCTTAAAATAAGACAGGTAGTGTATATGTCGCAGCCTGAGGGTATAATCAGCCAACCAACTGGGCGGCTAGACCTTTAATTTAATTGTATGGCACCATAAGGGCTAGCCGCCCAACTGGTTGGCTGATTATACCATTTTTCTGCGACATTTTAATTACGCTTCTTGGATCAAACATCCACACCGCCCGCTCCTAAGGAGCGCTCTCGCCGGCCTTGCGATCCGCAGATACGCTTCGGGTCGCTGTAATTAAAAATGAATTAAACTATATATTTATCTAAGGGTACTGAAGGGCTAACACGTGAATAAAAATAAAATCTCAAAAAAAAGAAATTAAAATGTTACTTAAAAAATTCAAAGTTTTTTTTCGTCCTTTAGTGAAATATAGTTTTTAACTGCCTGATATTTTTTCGTCAATTTCAGATAGTCTGAACCGAGATGTATCCAAGGATTGGTCGAAGATCGTTGAGAGACGAGGCAATGGACCCTTACTCAGAGAGAACTCACTAAAGCTTCTCGCTAACTCAACCATATGCGTTTTCCAATGGAACAAAAGCCGATACCGATGCTTCTGCTGCAAGGAACCATTCTCGGACCTCAACTCTTTAAAAGATCACACAAACTCTCAACACGCTATAGAGGACATCGAAAAGAAAATAATCTTACAACAAAACAGACTGGTCAAAGTTGAAGTCTCTTCGATCCTATGCAAATTGTGTACGAAGCAACTGAACAGCTTGACCGACTTGAGGCAGCATTTGAAAGAGCATGGCTTAAGGTTTGTCCCCGAAGAAGATTTACTTGTACCCTTCAAAATCAATGGACAGTTACAATGCCAGTTGTGTTCGGAAAACTTCAGCGTATTCCGGTTACTAAATATACATATGAATAAACATTTTCAGAAGCAAGTATGCCATATTTGTGGTACCGGTTTTTCGAATTTGGTGTTTCTGAATCTGCATAAGACTAGATCGCACCGTCCGCTGACATGTAAGCAATGCGATTTGGTCTTCAAAAGTAGATCAGAGAAAAGGAGTCATGATGTCAACGTCCATGGGGTGAAATTTGAGAGGAAATTACGGTTTCCATGCCCGTATTGCCAAGAACGGTTTTTCCAGGAGAACTTTAGAGTACAACATTTGGTCGAGAAGCATGGTATGAAGAAGCCGGAACATAAGTGTAGTGTGTGTGCTAAAGTGTTTATAACAAAAAGTCTGTGCAATAATCATATTAAGAGTGTGCATATGAAAGAGAAGAGTCACGAGTGCGATATTTGTCATAATTTATTTTATACTAAGTCTGATGTGATGAGGCATCGGGTCACCCACACAGGTGAGAAGAAGTATGCTTGCTCTGTATGTAATAGTCCGTTTGCTACTAAAGATTCGTTGCGGAGACATATGAAGAGGACACATGTGGTGATGAATTAAAATATATTGAAACACTAAATGGGTTTCATTTTCCCTGTAATATTTATATCCAGCGATGCCATGTCTTGGATCTTGAACTCGTTAGCTTGGTGGCGTAGTTGATAAGCGCCGTGGACCGCGACCGTTGTCATTAAGCAATTTTCGCAAGGGTCGATCACGGGATGGGTGACCAAAAATTATCTCGAGCTACTTCGTGCTTCGTGAGGCATGTTAAGCCGTTGGTCCCGGCTGCATTGGCAGTCGTTAAGACTCCAATCGGCATTAGGCCGGCGTGGAGGGTCATAGCCCATCCTCGTTAACCATCCATAAGGTCTGAGCCCCTGCAGTAGGATAATTCTTTGGTTTGTGTGGGATCGTTGCCCATATCGCCCCCCCTGCAGTAGGTACGTAAAAGTGTTGCTAAATAATAAAATTGTGATTATTCTGAATTTTTATTGTAGATTGGTGCATATTTCTGCCATACGGGCAATAGGCTGATTGCCCGACTCTGGCTAGGAGTAATGGATGGCTAATGATAAACGAACGTAAATTTCAACGTTGTGAGTTTGTAAACCTGATAATTTCTACTGCATTTTATCTCATAGAACAGAACCCTACCGAATTCTATCAGCAGAAAGTGAGCTTTCCTGATGGTAGAATCAAAGCAAATACACACTAGTATTAAAACTAAAATTCGACAGGCGTTACACATTTGAATTTGATCCATAACTATTCCGATTTTGGGTTTCACGTTGTAACAGTATTTTATCACAAAGACTAGATCATTCCATTGGAATAGTTAGAGCGGTAAATTACTTTTTTGATTGGCAAGACTATTTGTGTAATTTATTCCACTTCATAATATGGTGAAAACTCATAGGATGTCAAGTTCAATGATTTATGAACTAAAGCTGAAATGACTTGATACTTTAGAAGAATGAGCTTGTAAAGTGTAGATTTTACAAGATCGTGGCGCTGCCAGACGTACATTATTTCTTATTTACTTCAGCCATTTGTTGCCGCTATGTACCAGACAGAAATAAGAGACTAAAAGATGAGCTAGAAAGCTTCTAGGGATTCATTAAGGTGCTTTGGGATAAACATGAGTGCGGGCAAATTCCGAAAACGACATCAAACGAGCAATGTTTGTTCTGAAGTTTTTCATTTATTAAAAGATTTTTTAAGTTGTCAATTTTATCAACAGTTGACAAAAAAGCCCGATCTGGTGGTAATTAGTCATTTTTGGAATTTTCCCGCTATCTTTAATACCCCAAAACACTAATATAAGAACAAAAATCTAGCAATGGCGCTGCTAGACTGTCATCATGGTTATCTCCATAGTTTAGCTATACGTTCCCATTTCGTAACTGACTGATAAGTATTAAGAATTCATTTCAAAATCGAAGAGGGTAGCGCTGCAATTCTATCACCAATCGGAAGTCAAGGTCACACAGGCTATAATTCTCGAATTCGAGGGTAAACAGAAATTCAATATAATTCTGTAAGAGGATCCAAGAGTGAAGTAATCAGTGATAATTATCTTGATAAATACACTTTGATAATTATACACAAACTCTACTCTCTTTTCGTACTTTAGGACTTATTATTAAAGGGGAATCATCGATAAACAACTATCAAATATGGTTTTTCTGATAGAGAAAATTGTCTAGGATAGACGTGCAAAAAGAAATTAAAAGCTCCCTACTACCCCCTAGAACAGACCATAGACAGACCATATTGAAATTTATCTTCTAATACAGTCCGTTTTAAGTTTTTTTTTTATTAAAAACATTTTGCTTTTCTTTATGTTTTCATTTCTATATTTCTTAAAAAGCTTTTTTTTTTATTTAAAATGCCTTTTTGTATCTAAAAATTGTTGCCTGGAACTACACATAATTATGAGACATTTATTCAAAAAACATAATTATCTTTATAATTACGAACCCTGGTGTTTGCATCCAGGTGTTTACACGTTTGACACATACAATAATCGGTTTCTGCGAAAGCGCCCCAATAACAAATGCGTTAATTAATAAAAACGTCTAAATAAAACAACATATCAAATAATTTAAAATTTATTGCAGTCCATAATGTCCGTGTTGTCTCTTCAAATGTCGACGCCAAGAATCCTTAGTCTTGAACTTCCCTTCACAGTGACTACAAGAAAACGACTTCACATCGTCGTGTGTCATCTCATGACGTTTCTGATCACACTTCGTGAAAAATCTCATCCCGCAAACGGCACAAGGATAATTTCTTTCTTTTATATGCACCGACCGTATATGAACTTTCATATTATGAGGAGACAAGAAGGTCTTTCCACATTCAGGGCAATCGCAGATCTGTCTTTTCGCACCATGCTCCTTTATCCTATGTTCGACCAATAAATATGTGTACCTAAAAGTTTTGTTACACAACAGACAATATCGTTTATATGATCCAACGTTATGCGCCTTCTTCATATGCTTAACTTTCATATTATGAGTTGAAAATGTTGCCGGACAATGGGAACACTTCTTCTCCGTATGGACAGAACTTACATGCATTCTAAGACTCAGCCTGTTTATATAAGATACCCCACAAATCTCGCAAACGTTATGGGTATAATGTGTATTCATGTGTATAGCGAGACGGGAAAATGTATTGAAAATGTCTGCACACGAAACACATTTGAAACCGTTCTCTAAGTTATATGGTATCAAAAAATGTTCGCTGCCATTAAATTCTATGCTATGTTTATCCATTAAATGAGATCTTAAACCGTTCAAATCGTCACAACTAAAAGAGCACAAGTTGCAAGCCAATCCTGATATTTCGACGCTCTTGTAGGACAAGCCTTTGAGAAGCTTGAATCTGATTTTCAAGTTTTTCACGTCACTGTGTGTTTTAGAATGTTCCCTTAGTTCCGGCATCGTCATAAAACTCTCTTTGCAGTGGAAACAACCGAACTTCGTCTTCAATGATTTAAATAAACACATATTCGAGTTCAATATGAGGTTGAGAGAGTTCTCTCGGGATGCAATCTGGGCCTCTGACTCTGGCGTAACATTACGAGTGTGTAATCGTTGTTTTCCTGAAATCCAATTCAGTTTCATACGAATGGTATACAGAGGCATAAAAAAAACACGCAGACTGAATAAAAAAAAAATACCTTTACTCTGCTGTTCTTTTCCAGGTTTTATCTCTTTATTTATATTTCTTTTTTTAATTTTATCTCGGCCTGTAACGACCCTTATTTTAGGAGGGTTTTTAAAAATTTTCTCAAGTTTAGCTTCTTCCTTTTTTTTATCATCTTGCGGTTCTAGCTTGACGACAAATATTTGACCTAAAACAAAAGTAATATTTTAACTTTAAAAAAGTATGTTCATTAATAATCTCAGTAGAAAACCCCCTAATATTAATGTTGTTTTAAAAAACATTGATGTTTGAAAACTAAGAGCAAGCATGCTCGACTTTCTCTGCTTATTATTATTGCTGTACCTTTTTACCACTTTTTTATATGTTTACCTTTCTCCTTTCTTGCTTTATCCTCAAAGTCCCACATAAAATTATCATCTGAACTATCAACTTTATCATCAAAATCATAGTCATCAAATTCTTCATACTCTTGCTTGAATGATGCTTCTGTTTCTGAAATAATAAATGATTCAATAATTATGGTTTTTTGATATTTTTAACAATACTCCATGATGAACTTGGGGGGTAAGAATAGATAGTGTAAGAAATTAGAAATGAGTTGGCGTTTCAATGAACTAGTTTTAAGATATGTTCAAATCGCTAGATTTGATTAGGAACATATTAACAATTGATTTGTAATTTTAAGAACATCATTGATTTGAGCATGTCCTTAACATGTTGAAAATCGGCATTCCCAAGCGACTTGGCTTGTTGTTAATGTCCATGTTAAATAATAGTATTTAAGATAGAGTATGGGTGAGACGGACACTTAGTGCATAGGCATTAAGTGTCCATCTCACTCGTATTCTCTCTTCGGGAGTCTACGGGGGGGGAGGATCTATGATAAGGGTACTGCGGTTCCCCCCAACACGATTGGTAGGGGACCGGATTGCTCAGTTGCGCATCTCTAATCTCTAGCCGGGGAGAGCCTGACTGGTTTGCGCACTGTTTGGGCATTGCACGCTCCCGCCTGGTTGTGGGGGTGTATCTCGAATGTCTCTGTGGTGTCTGACTGCCCTTTTCAGGGCGGGCCGAAATGAGGGCGGACCGCACGGTGTATGGCTTGCAGGCCGATCCCGTGCAGCGCCTTCCATGCGAGGGACATCGCTGAGTTTTAGTGGGTAAACTCCTGTTTTAGTCTAACCCCCTTTGGAGGTGGGACCGCAGAATTAGCTCCACATAACCCGTCGATCTAGCGCTGGGGGATCGGGTATGCGTAACGTATTTCTCAGCGCAAAAAAAAGGCGTGTGTATATTCGTCGAACGCCCTGACGTGATACTTGAATAATTCAGATTGGTCTACATTTGCCACAATTGAAGTTTAACTTTCTGCGGGTATATTAGTGAGCCACTTCAGTGATTTTCTATACCACTTAATACTGTTTTTTCTAGATGTATTCATGGCTGACTGTAGAGACTAATTGAAATTGCTAGTTTTAACCAGTGACCTAACTATACCGTACATACGAGCCTATGGCAAATTCTATGGATCCCCCCTCATAAAGAAGCTGGTCTGGATCCCTTCTGGCTGTAGGTGCATGGCATTTTGTAATTACGACACTGTTTATAACAAAAAACAAAATTGTAATTAATTCTGAATAAATACCTATTTCATTTGATTGTTCATCCAACATTTTTAAGACAGCCTCTTCAGCAGCTTGTACTTTCTTCTTAAAACTATCCGCTTCTCTTAGTACTTTTATACAAGCCTCGCAGATCAAATTCTTTATTCTGTCATGATTTCTTAACTGAAAAATTGAAAACTATCTATTTAAAAACCAATTACCAGGTTGCCTTGAACTCTAAATTTCCATTCAGTTTTTGTTCAGCATCAACATCACCAGTCTTTATCTCTACACAGCTAGGGCACATGCCTTCGTTGAATGGATGAATTTTCATCTTTATTGATAGTTTGAATATAAGTAAAAATATATCCTTTGGATGTTTAGGTGGATTGCCTTAACATTGATGAAAGTACACTCTGTATTAACAAAAATTGAAAAATTTGTCAGTCCTGTGAGGTCCTGAGGTGGACAGTGGTTAGAGCAGTCGCCCAGATTGCGAAAGGTCCTGGGTTTGAGTTTCATCTCAGAGTGCGGGGAAAAAAGTAAATTTTGAAGCATTTTTCATAAAAAATAATTACTAGATCCGAAGCCAGGATCACACATAGCAAAATCAAAAGAAACAGTTTATTCTGTAAATATTAAATCAAAGTGAGAAAATTCACTTCTCTTATCGAAGTTGTTTCGTCCAGTTGTTCTCAGACAAGATTACCAAATTTAAAACTGGTGGTAGATAACAGTAGCCAGGAGCAAATAATATATATATATTTTTAAATAATTTCACTTATCAAATGTACATTTTTCCATAAAATATAAAAAATGGTCAATATTAGGCAGTAGCCGGTACTAGGAAACTCCACCCTACAACTTAAACTTGATTTTCCAAGCTTCTTATTATGGATATAATAAGTAAATTAATTAAAATAAAAAACTAGATTAAAAAACCATTGTTTCTTAATTAACTTAATATAAACTTACAGATATGTTGAAGGTTTCTTTTAATATTTCTGAATAGATTTCAGGTTTTCCACTGTTGAAGTACTTAGTTGATAAATCTTTGTAACACTCCTCTGAGAGGCAACAACGACAGAGTTTTTTATGATCCATATTATAAAATTATAAACAATAAAAACATCTTGAAAAAATGCTTTTTTCTCTTTCTTTTTAATTATTGGCGTTGCTCTTTTGGATTTCGCTAGAATTTCGTTTGTATATACTTTGCTTTTGTAATAATGTATGTACTCTGTCTTATACTGTTCAACATTTTGTATTTGCGTTTACACAACTTTGCCAATGTCACGTTAATGGTCTTTACACATAAAAAAAAACAATTATAATAAGTTACAGAAATATTTTAATTAAAAACGGAGATACTTATGCAGAAAGAATTCGTAACATCATGTTAATAAAAAACTAGTTGTATTGTTGATCGAAGGCAAGGATACATTATTTTTAACCGACTTAAAAAAATAAGGTTCTCAATTTTGCAATTATCTGGCGTTTGGGTGAACCGATTTTGATGCAGTTTTCAGCATAGTATTTGTCAGACTTAGGAGAAAGTTTTGGGTATATTAGTCGGCTAAAAATAGAAGTTTTCACTTAAACATGTATTGTATGTATTTTCCTCGATTATCTCGCGTTTGTATAAACCGATTTTGACGGGGTTTCAGAAAAATATTTAGAGTGTTAGGTACCTATTATATAAAAAATATCAATATTGTTGAGGGAGACCTTCTTGGTTTAAGATCTTTTTAATTTTAATTTAAATATTGACAATCTGTTATGCATATGCACGTCTATTGTTTATATATATTAATAAGACTCTTCGTAAAGCTGTTGTCGGTTCTAAAAGTGAATAATGGTAATAGTTTTGAAAGTGGTTTTAATTTTGATAACGTTATACAACATGAAAAAAATGAAGAAGTTTTTTTAATGAACATATGGAAGAAGATTGGAGTCGAGACGTAATGAATATTGAAGAAGATCAAAGTCGAAAGAATGTAGAGAATGAAGCACAAAATAGAAAATGTTGTGAAGAAATTGAAGGAAGTCGAGCGGTGGAAAATAATAGTAGAAGAAAACATCGTGAAAGAGATAGAAGATTACCAGAAAAATACAAAGATTATATAATGGAATGGAAACGTCTAAAGTTTTATAGGGGAGTGTAATATTTGTACAAGTGATATAAAGGCGTGATGTAAACTTAAGGTTTCTATTCAATTCATAGTCAGTTAAATTATTAAAGGGGTGCGTATATTAAAGGAGTTTTTTATTGGTTAATAATGATTCATTTAAGGGGGTGAGAAATTAATGAAGTTTTAAAATATTAATTTATAAGAAACTAAATAAAACACACCCACGACTACAGGTTAAAGTTATTTAAAAAGATAAGAAGTTAGATATTATTTATGTTTTAATTAACTACTGATAAATGTACAGTAATTCAATCGCTGCCACGTTCTTACATCAGCCATGCCTTGTGTTTTAATTTTTGCTATTCTGATTCTTACCGTTATGTTATTTTTTATAGTTTATTAAAAAGAAACAAAAGGTATTGGCGGAATTTAGGTGTCGTCGGGTCAAAACCACACCTCCTTTTTGGTAACTATAAAGATGTTACTTTAAGACGTACCACACATTTCGATTATCACGAAGAGGTTTACAAAGCTAAAAAGAGCGTGGTCGGTTTGTATCGCTTCAATACACCAGTGCTTCTTCGCTTCGTTTTCATTGACCAAATTACGAAAATAATTTTTTCATCTCCAGAAGTAAAGAAGAAGTAAAAGAACTTCTGGAGATGAAAAAATAACCGAACTTAAAGGAGGACAAACCCATTGGAAAGGGGAAGATAATGTGAAAGTTTTACAGATTACTGACGACTTAATAGCGGCACAAGCGATGATATTCTATGCCGCTGGATTCAACTCCACTACTAATACTCTTTCATATCTGCTTTATGAACTTGCAAAGCATCCAAATATACAGGAGAAATTGTTTCAAGAGATAAAGCGAACACTGCAGGGTAATAACGGGGAAGTGAGCTTTGACACTTTGAAGCAAATGACTTATATGAATCAAGTGTTTCATGAGACTCTTCCGGTTATAAAAAAAGTTTCTTCAAGGCCTTCAAAAAAGTCACCCACCGCAACTTCGACCTCCTCATATGATGAAAATGTTTGCTCTCCCAAGGTGTTTTTTAGGTTTGGGAATAAATGAAAGTCTGAAGGTGCCAAGTCAGGGGAATAGGCGGGATGGGGCAGTAATTCAAAGCCACAATCGCGATTTGAGCCATAGATTCAACAGATGTGTGAACGCGTGCATTATCCTGATGGAACAACACTTTCTCGCTGAGTAATTGGCTTTTTCTCTTTGATTGTTTCGCGCAAGCGACGTAAGAGGGTGCAGTAATAAGCCGAGTTTATAGTTTCACCTTGCCAGCTGACAAAATTGTTTTGGCTTTTTTTGGAGTCGGTTCATCACGTTTTTTCCATGGACTTAGATTGCTGTTTTGACTCTGGGGTGCAGTGCCCAAGTAGCACATAAATAATATATTAACTAAAATAAGTACCGATTTATGTCCTAAAGTCATACTAACATTTTTAATCAGCACTGGTCAAGTTTCGAATCTGTTTAAAGGCATTTATTTTATCTAATAAAAAAAGTATACCAATGTCAAAACTCCTATTTAAGTATTGGGTAATATTAATATAAAGCTGTTATCGTATTTCGGTGATATGGAAAACATTATATATTATATAAGCATTAACGTAATATTATTTAGTGCACTTAGTTGTATTTAGTCATTTTCTAGAAACAAAGGTTTTCTAATGGCCTATGGTTGTATCGATTTAATGCTTATCCTATATACACATTGAATAAAGAACTAGTAAAACTTTAGCACCGATTTGTTCTTAAAGTATTCTTTAATCAAGCTGAAGCTCCTTTATCTTCTTAATCTATGCTTTTATAAAACATTAGGCTATATTTTGATCAATATTAAGTTATTTATAGAGATACAAGTAATAAATAGATCGTAATTATTTTTTATGTGAAATTAAAATGTAAAATTATTTTATGTATTGTATTGTAATGGTGGCATTTTATACGCATCGATGGCGCCATGGACATAAAACGTTGGGAAAAACAAAGAAAACATGTGGATATAAAAGAAAACTGAAAAAAGAGTATACTTACTAATTTAATTGAAACTTTAAAAATAAAAATAAAAATGAAATAATCGTTTGATGATTATAAGCACTATAAGATACTTCTGAAGTGTTAAAATACGGCTGTACCTAAAATGGGAGTGTGTTATACGAAAAATTACGAGCTCTTAGTTTTGTGTCTAACCATAATACGATTAACAGCTCTACTACACTATATTTGAATACCTAATGCTTTAATTTTACGAGTCGCCATTTGCTTTCTTTTTCCAATTCTTACAAAATATTTAAAGTCAACTGTGTCAGATGAAAAGGGGTAAATAATCATTTATTTTGTGCACAGATGCCTATAAAAGCAATTATGTTGTTAAAACAATGCCAAAAAGCCTAAAATTCAACAAAAAATTTTGCTACTAGGTTAAATTTTCTATTATTTTTATTATATTAAAGGAAGTTTGCGAAGGCGCGTGTATTTTACACCATAAACTTGTATATTTTACTCCACAAACTGATGTTTGCAGCTTATTTCACACATAGCGAGCTGTTTAAATCAATATTAAATAATACTTAAAAGACCAGCCAAGAGAACATGTCATGACACTTACACAAAACAATAACTTAAACCGATTATATATTTTTAAAATCTATTAAATATACTTTTTTTACAAAGGAAATAAAACAGTAAGCATTTTTAAAATATTAAATTAACGTATTATAATTTTGATTTACGCATATTAATTGTAATATAGTCACAAAAAGTTCAATTAGTACTTTAAGGTGCTAATTGAACTTTTTGTGGCTATTAGAATGCTTTTACCCGACTTTATTAATGCTATTATACAAAAGTTGTAGTGCTATCGCACAGCTTTTATAAAGCTTAAAGTCGTACAAAGGGGGGGCCCAAATTTTACGTATAAGAGTCGTTTAAAAGAAATACGGTTGATATACGATTTTATTATAATGCTTAACGCTTGGACTCGTGCTATCATAAATTTGATATAATGGTGTTTTGTGCTACTTGGGTGGTGTATCCAAATTTCATCCATTGTTACAAATCTGGATAAAAAATCTTGTGGATCAGTCTCAAACATTTCCAAACAGTTGCGAGAAATCGTAAGGCGTATTCGTTTTTGTTCGACTGAAATCAATCTGTGTACCCACCGCGCAGAAACCTTAGAAAATCCAAGTTCATTGAATATGATGTTTTGTGTTCGTTCATACGAGATGCCACTAGTGTCTGCAATCTACCTGATGGTCAATCTCCGAACTGTCAATATCAGATCACAGATTTTCCCGATGTTTTCTTCAGTCGTAGACGTCATAGGCCGGAGCGAGGCTCATCTTCAATACTCTCTCGTCCGCGTGTAAATTCAGCAACTCACTTTTTCACAGTCGTATACGACGGAGCAGATTCCCCCAATGTTGTTGACATATCTTCGTGAATCTCTTTTGGAGTTAGTATTTTTTTAAACAGGTATTTGATGACCGTACGTTGCTCAATTTTCTCTATTCTTTAAAAATACTGCACAAAGGCTCACAAAATTGAGTCTCATTTAAATACAGTTAATGCTATTGCGATAGAATTTTACAGTTTGACAACCAGAGAGTAAACTAATTGAATAAGGTCAGTTACATTAAAATAGTTTAAGTATTTATGTGTTAGGCCGCGAACTTTTCAATCCACCCTCGTATTTTGTCGTATACAGTGACAGGCGCAGTGTCAAAAAACCTGCTATTAAAATGCCATTGATACGCTATTATGTCTAGTAGAAGTACCTTTGTCCTGGAACAGTATCAATGTAATGAATGAGTGGAATAGACAGTTCTCTTACGACTTTATGCTTACTGTTTTCAGGTGTGCGGTTTGCTAAGGTCCAGTCCCGAATCTTTCTTGTTTTTTTGACTCATTATAAAGTGGAACCAGCGACAGAGAAGTTAAGGTTTGATTCAATGTTCACTGACAGCTAGAGATGGGATACCATTGAAGATCGTCCGGAGAAATTAATAATTTTCCGAATATGAAGTAAATTTAGTACAGCTTTTTATGTAAAAATGTGTACTGAAAAATATTTTTAACGAAAAATGCTTAAAGGATCCACTTGGTCCCTGGCACCATGAGATCTCCTGACCCTGAGTCACCCGGATTGCGAAAGGTTATGGGTTCGTTCCCCATTTCAGTGCCAGGGACCAAGTGGATTTAAAAAAGAATATCATTATGTATAAAAAAAATACATTAAATTTTTAAGGTAAAGGAAGTAACCGAATATATGGTGTTGCCAACTTAGAAAATAAGTGAAATCCAGTTTCACCAGTTTCTAATAAGACCTATTAGGCCAACACTCGTAGCTTTTCACGAAGTTTCGTTTGATTTATATATTGTTCATAAAACGTTGATATACTTCGTAACTTAGATATTTATAGCAAATCAGTATTTTTTAATATTTATTTGCGTGTAAATAATTAACCGAATCTTCGTAAAAAGTGCCTGGATAGGTAGTTCATTATTTCATCTGTTCAGTATCAATTCATCTTTTATTATTATAATATTAAATATGAATGTTCCAAAAAGTAAATTGTGCCCGAAAAACAGTGATAACTTCTCATAATTATAGTTTATTTTTGATTGTTGTATATATTTTTTTCAATGAGGAAGTATTTAAAAAAAAACATAGTTCCTGAAATCAAACTAGATGTCGCTACGGTATGTTCTTGATTTCTCCATGACAAACTTTCCGGTTTTCTTTCAAGTTTAAAAGTAATAAACAACTCATATTCTATTTGTACTTTTCGTGTTTGTATTGATATCTAAGTTTCGAACTTTTTAAATTTCAGTTTTGTCAGTCTGTCTTTGGTCCATTCGTTTCCTGCAAAAATCAACTTTTGCTAGAGTCGCCATCTAGTGGAGGTGTTTTATTAGAGCATTCGGGTTTTTTTTTAAATACTTCCTCATTAAGGAATAATAGTTTTTTTTTTTTAATTTAACGTGAAATTGCCGATTCGAACTTTTTGACATCCACAAAATTTTATTTTCGTCCACCTACCACCAAAATATGATGGAACATTATTTTAAATAGTGAGTAAGCGCCGCGGCCCGCGCTTGATATTGTTAAGAAATTTTCGCAAGGGTTGGTCACGGGATAAGTGACCAAAAAATTTGTCCCTCGAGCTACTCCGTGCCTCAGAAAGCACATTAAGCCGTAGGTCCCTGCTGCATTTACAATCGTTAATACCCTCCAATCCACATTGGGCCAGCGTGGAGGGTCATGGTTCATCTTCCTTACCATCCATAAGAAGCAGTGGGGACGGAAAAGGGCCGATTATGATGATGTTAATTATTTTAAATGATTTAAATACCAAAATATGTTTTTATTAATTTACTTATTTATTTACAGCGTGTTTGGTAATACCTGTATAATCCCGAATATGGCACATACGGCATGATGAATAGAACCCAGAAAAATGATCATTAAGTCTGAAAACTAGCACAAAACCTAGATATTTAGCTTTTTTCTTCGAAGTAAAACTGTACGCTGACAACCCTAAAAACAGCTGTTGTGTTGTATTCGGTCATCGTCTCCATGTGCCGAACTAGTTTAATAAATAACAGAATTTAAATAAATCTAAAGATAAATGCCTAGAATAAATATGCATCCGAGAGTAAACAAAGAAATAGTAGTAAATGACTTTTAACCATAAAAGAACACCAATCTTGTTATAAACGGTGTTTTAAAAACTATTTTTAAGAAACCTCTAATAATACAGTGAAAATAAAAAAGAAATTGCAAATACTTTCATTGAAGTTAGATATCTGCACTATTGCTCACATTAGTCTATGCAAGAAGGAGCGACAGAGACATAAAATCGACGACGATATGTATTGAGAAACTCGGGTTTCTGATGTGCCAGTAAGGTTCTGTAGATTAATTGCTTTGAAGTTTTGTTATTTTTTTTTTGTTAAATAACAAAACTGAAGTATAGGTAATGTTGACAAGTGAGAGCTGAAAGAGTGATTAGAACGCTGTCTCTAGGTATGTATGGACCTGTTTAATGTTAAATAGTTTTAATTACAAGTAAACTCATACGCAGTCGAGTGCGCGCGTCGGTGACATCAAAGTGTATTCTATAACGAGAGAGAGAGAGAGAGAGAGAGAGCGAGTACGCCGGGACGGCACGTATATGCTTTCAGGGTTGTAGAATATTAATTATTGTGTTCTTTGTGCTAGGTTGTATGGCCGTGTTTCGGGATTATACATGTATTTCCAAACATCCTGTATACTTGATATTTATTCGTACTTCTATGTTCTTACTGCTTTCTAACTTTCCTCTCTCTTATTTCTAAGGATTCAGCGTTTTTCTTTAAATTAAAATCGGCTTGATTCCACCATGTGTTAAAATAAAATGTTATTTAAATGAAAATACTAAGGAGTATTTATGTCAATAAGGATGACGACTGGGTAAAAAAGGACATTCAATTTAATCCATCAGTCAGATAAAAGAAAAATATTAGATACGGTTTTTTTTTTTACTTCAATATGACAAGGAATAGCTAAGATAACAGGCATTGAAATAAAGTTTGGATTTTGTACAGAATCGCAGGCCCGGTTTGAACCATTAACCGATCAAAATAAGTGAGCACGTCTTAATTTCACGTCTTCTCTCGTGTCAGTTTGCTTTATGGGTTTTGCTTTAGGGGCAAATGGTTTAAATCCTTGAATAATATCAAAAAGAAATTTAGTCCTCGTTTTCAAAATATTTCAAACTAAACCTCCCCTTCAATTATTGACTTCTTTTATTTTGACGCGCACTATCCATAAATGAAATAACTTTAAACGGTTGCCCTTTCCATTTTCATTCCTTTATTTGTTCTTTTCAGGGTAAAATACAGCCTATGTCCACTGATTATTGTTATGATATAGCTTCCCGTGATAATATCATTTATGTTAATATTACTCGGCTATAATAATTAAACTATTTATTTCTTCTGATGACCTTCAAAGGTAGTCCTTCTGCAACCGACAATGTTATCTTCATCGGATCGAACTTCAGCTTCTTGGTAGCTGCAGCTGGTTCCACTTTATAGTTATTTAAAAATTTTACAAGGAAGACCTTGGACTGGATCTTCGCAAACCGCATCCCTGAAAATTAAAATGTTAGGAATTAAAAGAGGCCATATTGGCTTCACTTTGACGGACTATTACTATATAAATATTATGACGGACATAATATTATTAATTACCAATTATTAGGTACCTATAAGTGCTACTTTAAAGTTCTGAGTTAGTATTTTACTACTTTCATGACCCACATTGACCCTCGAAAACATCACATTTCAATAAACACGAGTAGGTTGCACTCACAACAATGTCGTTGACGTTTAGTTTATTAAAATGTGACGTAAAATTAAATGAAATGAAAATGTTTTAAGCCTGCCACAAGCAGAATCGTCCAAACATATTTTTCCGCTACCACTTGTTCAGAACTTTTTTAGCTGGCAAGAAGAACAAGCGAAAGGACTTGCCAGCGCATTATCATAAGTAATGACATTTACATAAATCAAGTCATTATCAAAATAGTACATATATTGAAAAAATTATAAATACAAGTTTCAAAGTCTATAAGACATAGGTTGGCACATACCTAAATTAGGCGTTATAGAACAAAGCGAAGGCTATTAATTCCATGCATTGCGGTCCTTAAAAGATTCTCCAACTTTATAATAGCCTTTACTCATATCATAAGTATATTCTTTACATGAATTTTAAATTTATTTATGGGTAGGTCAATTACATTTTGTAGAACTATATTGAACGTAGCAACACATTTACCCAGAAATGATCCTCTGGTTTTTTGAAGTCTGAAGCTTGGAACAGCAAGTTTATTTTTATTTCTTATGTTAAAATTATGAACATTACTTATTTTTAATGAATGAATCGTAATGTTTTCTTATGTACATAATATTCTCATAGATGTATTGAGAGGCAACAGTCAGAATATTTATTTCTTTAACTATTTCTCTGAGAGATTCCCTAGACCGTAAAATATATATAGCACGGACAGCTCTCTTTTGTAGAATAAAAATATCCTGAATGCTAGCCGCAGAACCCAACAACAATATACCATACATCATTACACTATGAAAATAACTAAAATATACCAATCTTGCCGTTTCAACATTTGTCAAGAGTCTAATTTTCTTAACAGCAAAACCAGCAAAACTGAGTTTACTTGACAAGCTATCAATATGAGGATCCAATTGCAGTCGGGAATCTAGTGTAATACCAAGGAACTTTGTCGATTCTCCCAACTCAACTTTTTCGCTATTTACATTTATAAGTGTACTGACATGTCTCGCATTAGGTAATGCAAACTTTGTGCATTTCGTTTTATTTGAATTTAACTTTAAATTATTTTTATCAAACCACTGTAGAACATTGTCGAGAGCATCATTTACATCGTCAAAACAATCACTATCCCTCTCAACTTTAAACAGTAAAGAGGTGTCATCTGCAAATAATACTGTCTCGCATAAATTCTTCGTGAAGTGAGGAAGATCATTAATGTAAATTAGAAAAAGCAATGGTCCTAATATCCATCCCTGAGGTACGCCCATAGTAACTGATGCCCCTGCAGATTTCGCTTCATTAATTACTACTTTTTGAATTCTAGCAGAAAGATATGATTTTATTAGATTAAGTGAATTTTTCGTCACACCATCATACTCTAATTTCCCCAACAGTGTTTCATGACTAACGCAGTCGAATGCTTTTGAATGAATTATAAACTAATACTCATTGTTATATGGACGATTCATGTACAATATTTTTTAAGCTGTGATCTTAGCTTACTGAAAATTATGAGAGGTAAGGGTACTGCGTAGTGGCCCACATGATACATAAACCCGTAAGATCGGAACATGAACAATAATTTACGCTACTCGTTCCAAAGAAGGGTCAGAATAGACAACACCTGCCTACCCCTGTAAGATTTCCATACCGTTAAACATCTCGAATAAATATTTCTTACTATATAAAGTCCTCCGTAATCAAAAACAGAAAACCAACATGTCAAACTAGAAATAATAGAATAAAACAAACAAGAGTTGTAAGTAGATCTACATCACATGGAATAATTATACGTAAAAAGTATACCCGCGACTTCGCTTCCATAAATTATAGCCTATGTCACTCGCGCATGATGTAACTGCCGGTGAAAGAATTCTTGAAATCAGTCCCATAGTTTCGGAATCCTATTTAATGCAAACAAACATAATCAAACAATGATACATTTCCTCTTTATAATGTTTGTAAATAAATAAATAAATAAGTATCTACAGAAGTATATTTGATAATAAATAAAATATTAGAATTTCTCTCGAATAAAATTGTGAAAAGCTTACTACTAATGACTTACCAATACAATTCCGTGGACCAAGACCAAATGGTAAGTAAGCGCAAGGGTGCCTAGATTTCACATTTTCCTGTGAAAATCTTGTAGGGTCGAATTTATAAGGTTCCGGATAATATTCTTCGTCATAATGAATTCCCCGAACCGACACAAACATTAATGCGTCCCTTTTCAAATTGATGTCTACACCAGGTATTCGACAAGATTTCGCAGAAACTTTCCTTTGCACGTCAGCAATAGCATACATTCTGAGGGTCTCAGAAAATACTTGATCCATATACGACATCTGTTTCAGAGTTTCCAAACTTAGTTCTCCATTATTCTCTTCCAGGGTCTTTTTTATCTCTTCATATAATTTCTCCTGAATATCTTGATGCTTCGCAAGTTCGTAAAGCATATGTGAGAGAGTATTAGCAGTAGTATCATATCCAGCGGCGTAGAAGATCATTGCCTGAGCTGCAATCAATTCATCGGTAATTTGTAGCACTTTTGGCTCGTCGTCCTTGTTCCCATTTTTCTGTCCACCTTTAATTTTCTCAGAGAAGTTTTTCATCTCCAAAATTAAGTCCATTAAGTCTTTCCTACCTGATGGTTTACCGTTGCGTTGCATATTAACAAGCTTTACCAAATCTTGAAAATAATTAGAGATAAATTTAGGTGCAGCATTGAAGCCAAGTTTTTTTAATAAATTGGGACATATGTAAAACAATTCTAAAGCCAAATAATTCTTAAATAACATTTTTTCTAATTTCAAGAGTTTTTCATCAGGTTTGTCCATGTCAATTCCAAATGCACAGGCACTTATGGCTCCAGATGTATACCTCATGGCTATTTCTTGAACATTGAGATCCATCGATGATAGTTTTTGAGAATCAAGTTCCTTCAGCATTTTGTCGCCGCATCTTTCCATCAGATACACCATGTTTTTCAGTTTCCCAGAAGTGAAAATAGGCGAAAATCTGGTACGAAGCATCCTCCATGTATCGTCAGTGCTGACAGCTAAGTTGGCATTACGATTGTTATTGCCAAACTCGATTCCGCGATTAATGAAACTGTCGAACCCGCGTATGAACACATGTTGGATTATATCCAAATCTCTCAGAAGAAGCACTGGTGTATTGAAGCGATACAAACCGACCACTTTCTCTTTCGGATAAGCTTTGTAAACCTCTTCATGGAATTCGAAATGTGTGATATGTCTCAAAATAACATCTTTATAATCACCAAAGAGGAGATGTGGTTTCGGCCCAACAATATTTAATTTCCGCCAGTATTGTTTTTGTCTTTTCAATAAAATGTATAGCAAAACTGCTAAAATAATAACTAGACTTATAAAAACTATAATCAGTGCCATATTTACTATACTAAAGCAGTATGGTTGTCTGATGACTGCGGATATTATCAATGTATATAAAAGAGTTTGTTTTTTATCTGAAACATACATAAGGTAAATGTACACTATTTTGGTTAGTACATTATGCTGTGACGATCTTTTCTTGTTTCATATGAAAGAAACTAATATGTAATTTATTGATTTCTTATACTTTCACGTGCATTATCCTATACTTTATAATATAAAACAACTTTAAACTGTTTCGTCGCGTTTGTATTTAAACCGTTTAAAGTTGTTTCATTTTAGGCAATTTATAAATTTATATAATGCCACATCAACTAGCTTGATATTATAAAATCTCCGTAGAGCTCCCGAATGAGACTGACATAACCACACCACAGTTATGCTTAGTGTCGGTAAGGTGCGGCCTCAATTTTCGTAAGGCTTTCATAATATACTGGTTAAAATTTGTGAAGTTATTGATTAATAGTTATCAACAGAAGGTCTCATAATTATATTCTCACACTCGTATCTTTAGTTAACAGAAGTAAGTCCATAACTGTAGCCATAGCTACAAGAACGTTCAATATAAATTATAAATAATAAGAAATATATAAATAATAAAAAACATTTAATATGAAAAGCATATTAACAGATTGATTTATAAAAAGATTAAAACGTTTTTATAGCTATAGCTAGAATCAAGGGTAGAGAGTTAAGCGGTCGCTGTGCAGGTGAAATATGTTTGATTTATTTATATTATTCTTTAGACAAAGACGTAATATGGCACATTTACCTTATTATTGCCCCAATCTTATCTTTTATTATTGACATTAACGAAAATTGGTATTTCTTTGACAATTACAGACTGCCTGAGATAGCCATTCTTGAGTTAAGAGTCTAATCTAATCATAAATTAATTAACAAACATAACAGTGTACGTAATAATAGCATCTCAATAGAATCACAACTACATATTGCATTTTACCGTGGTATCTTCCCGAAGTCTAATATTATTATATTTCGGTCCCCGTTTGTGAGGAAGACATAGAATTAATAATATTGGACTTTAGGTATATAGTACAAGGGCAAAGTGCTAGTGTTGAGATTCTATTGAAATAAAATCATTATTTCGTAAACATTTATAGAATTGGCGTGCGTAGTGCGAACACCTAACTCTATAGCTGTAGGATACAACATCTTAGCAATGTTACAGCGATATTTCATTTCGTTTTACAACTTTGAAATATCTTTTGGTGGATAAATCACAATACTGTTGTTAAATCTATAAAATAAATCTTTTTCATTCGTTTGTCGTTATTAAAGTGTAGTAAAATGTAATGAAATATTACACGTATCCTATGGGCGCGTTTCTGCAAAGTGACCGTCAAACTGTCTCGCGATACTTAGCTATAGCCATGGCAATAAAAAGAATTTATTAATTTTATCAATAAATATGTTTATCTTACGTACGAGCTAGGGTTCGAGATAAGAAATAACGCCAATTGCGGTTCACAATCCGACTTTATTTACCTGATAAAATCACAAAATGTGACATACATGTCATATATCGTTGCTTTACTTTCTCAAACTTGTAACTATAAAATGACATGTTTACAGGAGAGTCAAAAAATGTAATAACTTTCTTATTTTTATGAAAAGCTGAATATGGTTTAAGGCATTAGAATAATGATATTATTAAGCCTTTGTTACAATAAAACTTATCCTATTCAAACAATCCTAGAATAAAGAGTAACGGATTTTAAAGAAACGAGGTTTTTGAATTACAGATTAGTTAACCCTAACACACATATATACGAGGTTGTTGAACTTATATAATTACTTGATTCAAAAGATAAATAAATAGAATTCTTGAATTTGGGTATCTATTTATTTATTATAAAAATTAAACATACAAATAATGGTAAAAATATGTCCAAATAAATACTTATTCGTGTTGCAAATTGTCATAGAAACTATGGTAATCCGCTGGAATCAGTTTCTTCAAAGTTTGCAGGTCATCATACTTTTTTTTATTTATGAGTAAAGACTGATTGTACAGTTTTTTAATCAATGATAGATTATTATCGGAGGTAGCAAAACGAGTCATGCGAACAGGTAACAAACTCCAGTTATCGTCAAAGCTGAGTTTGTATTGAACGCCAGCAATTGACGAATATTTTAACGCTCTTATATCTACAACACAGGGGTCTCCTGTTTTAGTACCTGGCCGTATAGATTTAATATAATTCAATGACGAGAAATCTCTGAAAAATGTGTGATCCAGATATCGCACTGTGTAAGGCTGCGAGGACGATCTAGCTTGACTTATAATCCTGACAAAGTCAGCAGGGACGTACAGTTCCTTGCCCTTCTTTTTTCGTTCTATAGTCGCATGGACGGAGTCGCACTCAATCTGCGTATGACCCACAACTAAATATTTTTGGTGGACCTCAGCGTTATGAGTGATTGTAAAGTTTTGAATTGCATTTGCAAGCGTAACATTCCGGTTTTGTGCGCAGCATCCGTCGCTGTAGATGACAATTAGCTTGGTCTTGTCTTCTATATGTTCCAGGAAGTCCAAAAGACATGACGCAAACATATTTGACTCCATGCCACCTTCACCTTCATGCCAGACGTAACATACGACGCTCCTGTCAAATTCGTTGTAAATAGTAAACTGATGGACACTTAATTTAAGTTTGAAATACTGAGCTCCAGCTGTCAAGTTAGGTATTGATTGTACTGCCTGCAGATCCAAAGTCAGCATGTTAATATCACCATTTAGGCATTTCAACTTATCTTCCTCTTTTTCTTTTCTTGCTCGATCTCTTGACTTTTTGTGCACTTCGTAATCTTCTTCAGAAACTCTTTTATTTTTGTATGCGTAACAGGTATCGCATTGGTCTTTCTTAGGTCTGTAAAGACCTATGTTCATCTTTTTAGTTATATCTAAAAAACATTTGTATGATGGTTTCTCTTCTTTCGGGGCACCTATACTGATGATATATTTTTCAAAGTCAGAGTACAACTCTGCCCAAGTTGTATAGTTCACATCGACAAAATCTTTGCTATTAGATTCGCGGCAGTAATGGGCCGGCATTTTTGGCAAACTAGCTAGAAAAGTTTCTGCGTGTTTAACTTTGGTTATATTAATAGTCTTTTGTCTTTTTGGTGGTTTACTGGACTTATTAGCCATACCAATCTCACTTTTTCCATTTTTTACCCAGTTTGCTACGGTCCACTCACCCAAACATAGTGTCCCACAAAACATCTTTTTGCACACAGGCTTGAGCAGTCCATTCACTTTAAGTGAATATTCCAACGTGTTCGTTCTCCTAGATGGGTGACCTTTTGTAAGAGTGGAAACCGGTTTACAATTTACCATAGCAATAACGAATGCTTTTCTCTCTTCCTGTTTCTGTTTTCTTCAGTGACATCCTTACATTTTTTTGAATACATTTTACCGCATTTTTCTGAATCACATCTGATATGTATGGTTCTTTCTTTTCGTTGCTCCCATCCAACAATGCCTTCATTTTTCTTTCTTTTTATTGAAAAATACTCCTTCCCTTTCATTCTTTTCATTTTTAAAAGATTTCTAGTCCATTTTTTCTTATCACCTTGACCTTTTCTTGCTCTTTTTATTTTAAGTGTGCCCGAAAACTCGTCTAATCTTTTACATGAACTTTCAGTTTCCGACGATGACATTTCAAAATCATCAGGGTTAAAATCAGTTCCACTGTCTGAAAAATCTGATATAGTTGTAGAATCGTTTGATTCAGAACCTTGAAAAGGAGTCAAGAACTGACCAGTTTTCTCGTCTAACATCCTATTTGTAGTAGCATTACATGACGGTGATTGGTTAAGATTTTGTTCTGCTGTTGATGTAGATGGTAAGTTTTTGAAAACCAAATTTCCAGTCTTTTCATCCAATGTAAGGGCTTTTTCCTGCAAAATAGTGATAGTGTTCACCTTAGAAATACTTGTAGATGGCTGGACTTCATCACGAGTGGTATTGTGTAGGGCTAAGTTCACTAAATTCCGGCTTCGAGAGCTCCTCATCATGTAATTTTATGTAGGTACAACTGTAAAACAGAAACAAGAACTACATTAAAAATATAAAACAAAAGTGAGAAATAATTAAGTACGAAGTAACACCGGTACATCTAAATGTATTTTAAAATTGATATTTCACTGTTATATTATAACAATGAAACAGTAGCTAAGGTAACTCAACAGTGTGCAAATTAAGGTGGCCTTGACTTTAAAATGTATTTTATTATACAAGGATAGATAAAAGAGAGGGGAGTTACCCATTAGCATAAAATTACAAAATACACTATTCATTAAGTCAATTTATTTCAAGTTAGTTTTAATAGTAATATCTACACTTAAATATTAGTCAATTTTTACTCTTATCCTTCCTGTTATCAGGAAGATACCCTTCCCAGTAGTGGGAGTAACATGGATTGACATGCGGATAAGTCAAAAACAAATAAAACTTACCTTGGAGCATGTATTCAAAACAGAATAAAACTTGTAACACAAATTATTTTAATTGTTCTCAAGCAATCTCATCAATCCCAAATTAAAATTACTTTTATTGCACGCTTTCAGCGAAACTTTTGAAAAAAGTACAAGTAGGTAGGTATGTAGGTATCTTCTCCGCAAGTTCTTTTACTACGAAGTTCATACTAATAGTAAGAACGGCAACCTCGCATCTTCCTTTGCAAGCTAAGCAAAAATAAAATCTATGCGTAATGAGTGAAAGTCGAAAACTCGTAACTTGGGATACGAGATTGCAGCAGTTACCAAAATTGAGAGAATGAGAAAGAAGGTTGCGTGCTATCGTTTTTTGTTGCTAACTTCATTCGATATCCACATACGAGTTTGTTGCAGTAATAAAGCATTGTACGAAGAAGCGAATGTTATTAAAAAAAGAAAAATCATTTTTTTTATATACGAGGTTGAGAAGGTAAGACGACGATATAACATGGCCAATTTATAATAATAAAAAA